TCTTCGAGTTTTGAAAACCGCTTTTCGCTCAATATGTTAAAATGGATTTCATATTAACAAAAAATTCTAAATTAAACAATCTGTGTCAGTAAATTATCACGCATCAGGCAGAACAATGGGAGCTGCTGCCCAACTAAAGGCATTTTTTGCCAATGATCTGCTTAGGAAATAAGCTCAGAGAATTCATTCTTCAGCATCAAACCCAATTTCCTCAACATTTAATTTCATGCCTTTAAAATTTTCGAAATATTAATATTCAAAACTGCTTGTCGTCTCCAACCTAGGCAACATTTCCTTATCACTCTTGCACATTTCCCAAAAATTTACTTCCCAAGATGGTTTTGGTCAAGTGATGTATTCGGTCTTCTTGTCTGTCTAGACTCTAGAAAGACGTTAGTCGCGCTACAAACTTCAAATAAACTTTAAAGACGTTGGTAGCGCTACTAACTTCAAATAAACTTGATAGCACGTAGGAAGAATTGTTCACTGGAAACACGGGTTAGTGAACAAATCATTTGCTATTGCGTTTCCGTGTAATGAAACCGCGTTCAAAAAGCTAGAAAACGTTCGCACAACTAGGAAAAAAAACACAATAGTAGGAACATATTGCAGTACATTATCATTATTGAGGCTGACACTTCCCCGGTGTATGAATTTCAGACAATCAATTGATTTTCCATTAATAAAAATGAACTTTTCACAAAAAAATCCAGTAAACAAAATATCTTAAGCGTGTTACTAACTATTTATCCTTACTGACTTATACACATTACAAACGAAAAAGTAATTATTCCTTTTTCGCCCATTTTCAACTAGAAGATTGATCGCAACAATGCAACACCTAGCAAAGAATGCATTTTTATTACGCGACTACGAAATAATTTTATTACGCGACTATGTAATAAATGGCAAATGAATACATAAATCAACTCAGGAAATTATTTTCCAATTTAATTTAGCGAATCATGAACTAAATTCAACAGCCAATTAAACTATAAAAAATGGATTAAAAGATTATCAAGAAATAAAACAAGCAACGTGACTATTAAATTTTCTGTTTCTCGAAAAAACGCATACTCGAACGCAAGTTTCCACCCATTCGTTGATAAATCCCAAAAATATATCGATATTCTTTCTTCGGAAAAAGCGAGAAAAAAATAGTTTTCAAGAAGGAAAAACAACTTTGGGTCGACCCAAAAACTGGAGAATAGTAACACGATAAATACCCCCGTGAGAAAGGGTATAAATACAATAAAGATGAATGAGCATAGCATCTCTGTCACTACTCGAAACGCGTGTCTTCGTGTTTGCTTTCAAGAGTGAAGCTCTCACAACTTAAGATGCAAAAACAATAGGAAGAGCTTCGCGGAACAATATAGATAAAAGGTAAGAAAATAACTAACATACTACCAAGCAAAAAAGAAGTGGAATGAACAACTTCCGCCGTTAAATTGAGTGTCTCAGCTATAAAGAAATAAACCGTGAACTTAATTTCCGCGTGCAAGACTGATTATATGTACATCGCCTTTAAAAATAACCATAAGGTTCCTACTCCTTTGCACATCTCACCACACACGGTATTCCCATGTCACTGCCAACTCAAAATGGGAATCTGCGTACAGCTTCAACATGCGCTTACATCTGCGCGTCAACCATCGCTCTTCACCTTGCTCCATCATACCTCCAGGAGTCTATAAGCTATTTACACTCTCGAGATATCTGGAGATACAAGCATATCCAGTAAACGCTGCCCGTTAAAACAATTCATATCGAGAGCCAGATAAAGCGGTTGAAGATAATTAAGAGTATCGAATGGGATAGCATAACCTGCATAACAGCTCAAATAAACATTTGGAGAGCACTTTCAGCTTTTTAGTTATAGAATAGATATCTATAAATATTTCTAGGCTTTTCCTCTTAGCAACCAAACAGTTTCAATTAGTGAATCGGTAATAAATGTGGTAAATACAATTAATCAAGGCAATCAAAACCAGTTAAATATTTGGTTGAGACTGGTTAATGTTGAGCGGATGCAAATCAAATCATAAAATCAGTTTCCGCAGCAAACGTTTGAATGGCTTTTCATGCTCAAGTAGTGTGACTCACGAAAGAGTGAGAAACGCTAAAAATAAATTCAATGGTTGCATCTGAATTTTTGTCATACCTTAGCGCAAGCTTTACATTTAGAACATTTCTTCAACTAAATTAGATAAGAGTGGTGGAATGCTGTAGTACATAGCCACGTAACAAACACTTCCCGGGGCGCCGGGGGCGGTAACCTGCTTTTGTTGAACTTGATTGAATAACTGAGCATTCACTCTCACGAATAGAATGCTCGTATTATAGTTCAAATATAGCTTCACTTCTCTCATGATGGCGGGCGACAAGGCTCCACACTCGTGAATCCACAGCTCGTGATTACTGGAAGTAAAGCATATTTTAGCTAATGAACAATAAATCCATAAAAATTCACACATGCCGTACAGACCATGAACATCGAAAAAAAGTGTAGTCCTTGTAATTGTTGCTTAGTAACTCTAACTCACGAGTCCTTTTGTGACACGAGATAAACTGTGAGGAAAATAGTTTATCCATAGTTGTAAAATGTGACTTGGTTCTGCACTCTTTCAAACTTCAAAACTCCAAATTTCATTCATATTTTTCGAAATTTGATATTGATGTACGACAACAAATTTTGTGGAGCGTTCATTCCATCTTCAGAAGTTAAATCGGGAATAACTGAATCAGAAGTTAAATCAGGATACAATGAGAACACTGGGAAATCGTAAACCTGCATCAGACAACTAATGTACCGGTAATAGATAATTTCATTCCTGTTAGGGATCTTACTAAGCTACTAGCCAATAAATGACCTGATTAGTTTTTGCCCGTGAATTAAGGGCTAAACTGCCTCCTTGGATCTCAAACTTCAACATTTTTAGCCGATTCAACATGCCTATGTAAGCCCTTCGCACATGTCACCATTGAAAAGTACGGAAAAATTTTCAACAGTCTAATTTACTCCCAGAATGTTTATACAGGAGGAAAAATTTCTTTCTATCGTGAGTCACTATTTTAGAAACAGCTGATGTTCAACAAATTTGCCTAAAAAAACTCAACATCTTGTAAAACTAACTCTCAATGCACAGTTGATGAAAAGTACTCAAACATCAACATCTGCGTGAATTTCCTACAATTATAAATATATCGCAGAAATACCTATAAGATGTCACGATCAAACTCACATATTGCATGGTTGTAATTTGGGAAGCAAAGCCTTCAGGACTGTGCAACACCAGTCCTTGTCGGGGTCTTCCAGTTTCATCAAATGCAGGCGGTACTGCCTGTTGGGCTTCATATCAAGACTTTGCGTAATATCGGTCGCCTTCACGCTCTTGTTGATGGCAATATCTAAAGGCAGGCAAATTTGAAAGACTATTTTACTATTAAATAGTTTGCAATATGATAGCATCTTGAGAGAAATTTATTACTGACTGGAAAAGAGTATCCGATGAAATAATATAAATCTATCGTATCACATGGCTTAAAAGCGAGATTTAAATTTGATTGAAAGTTTAAATATTATAATACGCGTCATATAATATTCAAAATATCATTTAGTCACGATACACAGGGAAATAATCATTATACAGGGTTCATACCGGTTTTTAGAAAGAAAATTCCATGACTCTTCATGACCATCAATATAATTTTCCAAGACTCGTATACGACAGGTTTAGCATGACTGAAAGACTAACCATGCATATTCTATCATCTCCTACAGTTGATATAGCAAACGTGTAAATGCATAGAACAGGCAGACACAGAGGAACAGAAATGATACAAATCTGAAAATCAAGCCCACACTGGTATTAATATGAACTCGATAGTGTCAAATCACAACAAATATTGATTAATGCACACAAGATTGTACATGATAATATCAATACAGTTCAGAACACTCGTCAACACCACTACCCTAACATTCAACTGGCAGCTATTTCATCAACTTTTTCTTTACAGGATTCGTCGCGGTATTTAGAAATCAAATTCCAAGACTTTTCCATGACTCTCCATTACCATCAATATAATTTTCCAAAACTCGTATACGACAGGTTCAGCATGACTGAAAGACCAACCGTGAATATTGTACAGGTCTCTTATACACATCT